CTCTCTGGAGACTTGAGGAACCGCCCCTGAAGGAGAGATTAGGTAGTGTGTGCCCCCCACTCGGGCGGGGGACACAGCAGAGCGGAGCCGGGTCCAGGGCAGGTCATGCCGAGGCCGGGGCTCCCAGGCAAACGGCAGCGACCAGGCCCAGTCAGGTGAGGGGCCCAGAGCGGCCCCGCCCCGGCCGGGGGTCAGGCCCGAGGGCCCCGGCAGCCGCTCCCTCTCCATTAACCAGCTCCTCCAGTTCAGAAGCAGTCGCCCTCCGGCCAAGGCCAGGGGCTCGGGCCAGGCCCAGCCACCCCTGGCCCTCACTGCTCCCCCCACCAGGGGTGCCCCGCCACCAGCCGCCTGCTCAGGCTAGGGAGCCAGGGCCCCTCCCAAAGGCAGGGCCCGTCAGGGTGCCGGTGGGCCTGGGTGAGCAGGCTCCGGCCGGGACCGCTCACGCATGTCTCCCCGCGGGGCTGCGGTGGGCGTGGAGCGTGGAGGGGCAGGCCACACGGGGTCCCTTCGGTCCGCTCGGAGAGGGAGGCTCAGGGTCCCTGGGGTTGCGGCTGAACCTTGTGCAGTCTCCCCCAGCCCCTGGGGCCAAGCTCACCTACTCCCCCCGCGCCCCCACCCGGCACTCTGCTGCTCCTTGCACTCCCCTCCGGAAAGCCCACCCCCGCCCACCGGCCCCTCCCCACACGCTGCCCCGTCCACAGGCACGCCACCTCCAGGAAGCCCTCTGCTGGGCATCAGAGCTGAGCTGCGATCACTCCCTGGGCCCGGTGCCCCAGAACCGCCCCAGGGGCCCGCCCAGCCTGCCCGTCTCAGGCGAGGAAGCGGACGGAGGCCCAGGGGGGACAGAGGCAAAGCTGCTCGGACCAGGAGGGCGCCCGGGGGCGCGCCAGGTCTCATGCTCAGTCCGCCCTCGCCCCTCGAGGTCGGGGGCGCCCGGGTCACAAGAAACCACCAGAGGTGGCTGTGTCCTGACGCACAGAGCCAAGGACAGCGGTGTGAAGACGTGTATGTTCCTAAGTGTCAGGGTTCTGTGCCTGTCTTCTCCTTGAAGACCACGCCAGAGCCCTGGTTGGTGGGGCTCAGTGGCCTGGGCGTCGTCCTGCACACTGAAAGGTCGCTGGTTCGATTCCCGGTCAGAGCACACTCCCGGGGTTGCGGGCCAGGTCCCTCCCCAGTAGGGGGCGCACGAGAGGCAACGGATGGATGTTTCCCTCGCACGTCGATGTTTCTCTCTCTCTCTTTCTCCCTCCCTTCCCCTCTCTCTGAAAAATATTTAAAATCCTTAAAAAGGAAGAAAAGAAGACTCAACGCCAGCGGCCCATGTGCTCACAGGACCCCGGAGCCCAGCAAGGGACAGGGCGTCCCCAGGGTACACCTGCCTCCTCCGCTGACCGGTGGCGCCAGCCCCAGGCCACCCCAGGGAGCCACCCCGGCGGGCGCTCAGGCTCGCTGTGCGCGGGCGCCCCCAGGACAGGGGCCGGCCCGGCCGCCGGCATGTCCCCGCACTCTCGCCCAACACAGCAGGCGCTCGGGGACAGCACGTCCCCACCTCCCCACGTCCTTCCCCGGCCGCTCTGCCCCCGCCCACGTGGGTGCCCCTGCAGCCCACCCTGGACCCCCAGCTGCCCGGTTCGACGGCACCAGGCGGGGCACCTCCAGCCTCCCCCGCCCCCAGTGGCCCACACAGGCCCCTTTGTGCTCTGCAGAGCCTCCTCGGGGTGGGGGCGGGGGGGGGGACAAAGCCTGGAGCCCCCGCAGGCAGGCCCACCCCACCCCCTGCTCACCAGCATCCAGCCAGCAGTCCCTCCCCCTCCCCCACTCTTTTGTTCCAATGAAAGAATTTGGGGAACCAGAGACAATATGGCTTATATTTTCAAAACTGGAACCAATTACCACTGCAGTCGGTCAGATGTTTCCTCCGCGCTGCAGCTCAGGTCGGCGGGGCCGCGCCGGCACGGAGGGGGCACCGGGGGGAGCCGCGGGGTTCGGCCCAGAGAGCCGAGCGAGGGGCTGCTACACTGCAGGGTCCGGACCCTCGTCCCACCTTGCACACCCGGCCCTGCACACCCAGCCTGCTCACACTGGCCTGCACACACCCAGCCTGCTCACACCCAGTCTGCACACCCAGCCTGCACACACCCAGCCTGCACACCCAGCCTGCTCACACTGGCCTGCACACCCTCCCCTGCACACCTAGCCCTGCCCACCCAGCCTGCTCACACTGGCCTGCACACCCAGCCTGCACACTCAGCCTGCTCACACCCAGTCCTGCTCACACCCAGCCTGCTCACACCCACCCTGCTCACCCAGCCCTGCTCACCCTCCCCTGCACACCTAGCCTGCACACCCAGCCTGCACACCTGGCCTGCACACACCCGGCCTGCACACCCGGCCTTGCACACCCGGCCCTGCACACCCAGCCTGCTCACACTGGCCTGCACACCCAGCCTGCTCGCACCCACCCTGCACACCCAGCCTGCACACCTAGCCCCCTGCACATCCAGCCTGCTCACACCCAGCCTGCTCACCCAGCCCTGCTCACCCTCCCTTGCACACCCTCCCCTGCACACCCAGCCTGCCCACCCAGCCCTGCTCACACCCAGCCTGCTCCCTTGGTCTCTCCTCCGAGGAGACAGCGCCCAGGCGGCGGCCCTGCAGCCCCCCCACTGCACCGCTCTCCGACGGCCACATCTGCCACATCTGCCCCCCAGCTGGCCACCCTCCCGGGAAGCCCACCCACGGAGGGCCAAGGGCTGCGCACAGGCCCTGCCCCCTGGCACAGATGCTTCCGCCCACCCTGCCCAGGGTTCAGAACAGGACGGGGGCCGGGTTCTGCCCCCTTCTCCTCCAAAGCAGATCTCACAGGGGACCCACCGCCCTGGCACCACCCCAGAGACGGCCAGAAGGTCCCGCGCCCTCACCGGGCGGACGGAGACTCCAGCCCCAGCTCCCTGAGCAGTGGCAGCTGCCCGGGCCCCGGCCCGGGTTCCTCCTCCACAAGCACAGGAAGCGGGGTTTTGACGCGGCATCGCCGGCAGAGCGTGGCGCAGGGGCAGGCAGTACCCTGGGGTTCCGGGCCCTCCGCCCACCCCAAGGCCTGTCCCCACACAGGGGGCTGCTCTGGAGGCAAAGCTGAGCCTGGGGCCTGGACCCCGAGGAGCTGGGGGCACGCTGCTTCCCCCCACCCAGCACCCCAAGCCTGAGTCTCTGAGCCTCGGGCCCTGGAACGGGGTGAGACAGGCTGCCCCCCGCCGGCCACAAAGCCCCCGCTGCATGTCTGAGCTCCCGGGGCGGGGGAACCCTGGCTCCCTCCCCGTGCTGCCCTGCCAGCCCTCACCCCGCTGGTACCCAGGAGGCCGAGGGCAGGGGCCTCGGGGGCGGAGAGGCTGCTCAGCTCACAGGGAGCTCTGGCCCATGCGGCCCCGAGCTGGAGGTCCGGGCAGGCAGGCGAAGACAGAGTCTGGAGGAAGCCCAGTCCTAGGGTGTCACCACTGTCTCTCAGAGGGTGTGACCAAGGACAGGCCACACTGCAGAGTCACCTCCTCGCTGCCCTCCCCCCCCACACACACACACAGGGACCTCGGCAGCACCCGTGAGGCCGACGGTCCAGCCGCAGCCCCGTCCGAGCAGCAGCCCGAAGGCAGCCGGCCGCCAGGGCGGAGGTGCTCCGCCCACCCCCACGGTCACGCCCAGCGAGATCCGAGTCGGGCAGCGCACATGAGCCCCAGGGTCCTCAGAGCGTCTCTCCCGGGCCACCTGTCACCGCGGTGACAGACCCCGAGGAGAGGCGAGGCACGGGGGTGCTCCCGGAGGGGACCGAAGATGCTCCAGAATGGGGGGGTGTCTCCGAGCAGCCCCCAGGGGCACCGGGCAGGGACCCCCGGCCCTGGGGGGGCCCTTCTTCCATTTCTGCGAGAAGGGGCCCTCCCGGAGCCCAGGGACAGGCGGGCTCAGCGCAGAACCTTCCAGGGAACAGAGGGCACTCGACGAGCCCCCGGAGCGGCCCAAGCCGACAGCTGCCCCACCGCCGGCCACACCCCCGGCCACACCGCCCTCCCCAAACTCCTCCGGGAGCACCCCGGCAGCCCCTACCCTCAGCCCGGTGCCGGGGATGGGCGGCACCTGGGAGGGAACACACACAGGGAACAGCGACGGGGAGGGCCCCCCCCCAAACAAGCAGGGGGACCTTCCGGTCCCCCGTTTCCTGGGCTCCTCTGGCTGCCTGCTGGGCGCCTGGACGCGTGGACGCTCACCTCAGGGCGTCTGCCTGGCGTCCGCCCAGAAGCAGCCCCCGCCGCTCACCGGAGGCAAGTTCAAAGCCCCGGAAACCGCCCAGGGGCGTCTGGTTTGTGCGGCAGCGGCCGCGGCAGGCGGCATGGCTCTGTGCCTCAGGCCCGCGGGACCCTGCGAGCGAGCCCCCGGGGTGGGGGGGGCGGGCACAGCCGCCGGAGGGGGGGCCAGAGGTCACGCTGGCCCCCCTCACGCAGAGAGCCGTGGGAACGTTGGCGGGGGTGCGTCTGACATCTTCCCCGCGCGTGTGTGCGCTTGACAGAAACCCTATCACCCCCCACGCGAGTTCTCCCGAGTGGCCCAGAGGCCTGGCTTCCAGGGGGTGTCAGGCTCCAGTTCCTGATGTGCCAGAGTTTCCCCCACCACCTGCCTCAGGCAGGACCCCCGGGGCTCCCCGTGCTCCAACACCGAGGACGTGGGGGTCTCCGGCGCGGCGGCCCGGCAGCTCCGAGACCCCTGGGACGAGTGCTCCCCGCCCTGCCTGTGTCCGCACCCGCCGCCCCGTCCACAGGGGACACAACTCAGGGGTTCCGCGGTCACTGAGGCGTCCACTGAGGGAGGGCCTCAGAGTCGGCCCCGCCCCCCACGACTGGGGTGGGCAGCAGGGCCCAGGGTGAGGGTGGTGGACAACGGCCCCCGTCCTGGGTCCCCCCCGCGCCCGCGCCCCTGGGCGCAGCCAGAGCCTCGGGGCCTGGCGGGGCTGCACTCACCGTGCTGGCAGCGGGGGCCCTGGAAGCCGGCGGGGCAGCGGCACGGCCGGGCTGAGCCGGGCTCGCAGCTGCCACCGTTGAAACACAGGCCAGCGCGGCACTCGGCTGTGGAGAGAGGGGAGGGGGCCCGTGAGTGAGGCAGGGGCTGGGGGCAGCACCCAGCCCACCCACCAGGACGGAGTCGCAAGAGGACACTCCCCCATGAAGTCAACCCACTCAAGGCGAGGCCTCGGGCCAGACGGAACCCAGCCCTCCCCCCAGCGCAGCCGGGACCACACCTGAGGGCTGAGCCCCCACACCTGGAGGTCCCACTGGCAGGCAGCCCAGCCCCGCTGCTGTGGGTCCCACACGGCCCCCCCTAGCCCTGGACACACGTGGTGTAGGTCCAGGGGAGCCCCTTTGGCTGGGGCAAGAACCCCAACACAGCACCCTGCGATTCCCCACCACAGCCTCCCAACGCACCTCAGCATTTACGGGGGGAAGAGCTTGTTCCCTCCCAAGCCCCAGGCCACGGGCCCCCACGCCAGCCCTCCCCCAAGACCCTCCCTGCAGGGAGAAAGCCCCCCTCCAGGTTCCCGGGGAAGGACGGAGCCCCCCCGGGCTGGCTCCACAGCCTCCACGCCAAGAGCACCGCCCACCACACGGGTGGGCGCCCGGGACAAGCAGAGGGACAGGCGCCCTCTGCCCGCAGCCAGGCCCAGCTCCCGGAGCCTCTGCGTGGCTGCAAGTCCGGGCTCAAGCTGGCCACCCCGAGTCCGGGAGCCCGTCCTGTCGATGGAGAAGGTGGGGGGCCAAGAGGCCACAGACCCCAACGACAAGGCCCACCAGCCCTCCCAGCCCCGGCCTCCCACCCCAGACACGGAGCCCCGGAGAGCGGGTCTGAGTGGGCAGCACGGTCCCCTCCCCCCCGCCTGCTGCCCGCTCCCTGCCTGCGGCACACCCACCTCCCCGCAGCTGGGTGTCTGCAGGGCTGGGGCCACGCGCCCGGGACCTCCCAGGAGGGCTGGGCCCGGACCGCCCCAGACTGGGGTCCTGTCCCCACAGACCTCCAGCCCCTGGTGGAGGCTGTGACTGAACCCCCAGCCCTCGGCTGAGGTCACGGAGCAAGTGCCAGGGCTGCCCGGACGTGAAGACGCAGACCCGCGCACGCTTGGCCCTGGGGCGCGCTGGGCAGGCCGGGGCCACCACCCCGACCCCGCCCCACCAAGGGCACCCTGAGCTGAGTGCCCAGGCGTGGGGTGTTCCTGTGCTAGGAGCCGTGGGCTGCAGGGGAGGGGCCCCGGGCCAGGCGCTAGGGCGGCGGACTGCCGTCCGGAGCGTGAGCGCCCACAGGCAGTGTGTGCCAGCCCTGCCCGTTCCCACGCTGGGCGAGGGGCTGACCATGGCCAGGACGGAAAAGGAAAAGTGAGACTCGGGGGCAGGAAAGCCGGGGGCGGCCTCCTTGCCGCTCCCCCCCTCGGGCCCTGACCCCAGGGAGGGCCACCTGCCGGGGCCAGCTGCCTGCAGGACCGCAGGTGGGTGCAGGGCACCAGCTGGGGGCTCACCCGCAGCCCCGCCTGCAGGGGCCGAGGTCCCGGGCGCGGAGCCAGGGCTGCACCCGGTCCGTGGCTCCCGCTGGCAGGAGCCACAGCGCAGCCCCTCCTGGGCTACCACGGCCTCGCACCTTCCGCTCCCTCTGCGGTGGGGGTCTCTCCCCAGGCACCTGCAAGGCCCCCGCCCCCACTCACGTCACACAGGCCACCGGTGCCCGGGAGGGAGTGGGAGTCCGTCCACAGCCCCATTGGAGCCAGCACCGCCTGCCCGCCCCCCGACCCCGTTCCCTGCTCCCTGCCTCGTCCTCCTGCAGCGTTCTGTCCTCACTCCCCCGCCCCGACCGCGGGGCGCAGGGCGCAGTTCCGGAGTTCCCGCACTGCACTGCCGCCCGCCCACGCCTGAGCCTGAGGCAGGCCCTCGCCACCGTCTGTACAATGTATCACCTGGGCCAGGGCTTCTCAGCCCGACACACTGTTACTGTTTTCTCTTCATTGTTGCTCTTCCTTCCTTCCTTTCGGAAGGAAGAGTTAGTTTGGACACCCCCGCACAGCCTGTCTTGGAATCCGCACTGAGGTGCACACGGCCGCACTGAGGGCTCCGACCAGTCCTGCCGACCGAACCTGCGGCTCTGTGGCCCGCCTGCCAGCCCCAGAGGGACAGAGCCCAGGCGAACCGAGGCTGCGAGCAGGTGCGTCTGTCTTCCTGGCTGCGTCCGCCTCGGGGTCGGCGAGCGGGGATCCGGGGGTCCGAGCTGCTCCAGGCCGGGAACCGCGTCCTTCGATGAGGGGGAGCCAGGACCCAGGGCAGCTGCGGCTGAAACAGCGTGAAGGTCCGTCCAGACAACCCGTGTCCTCCAGCCGGGGCAGACGTGGAATCCAGAGATCCGTGCTGAGCAGGAAGAACTCGAACCCCAGCAACCAAGGGCCGGAGCCCAGCTGCCCCCCAGGGCACGTGGGTGAAGGGGCCACGCGGATCCGGGGAAGCCCCGGGCATCGGGCGCCGCTGCCCTGTCCCACCGACACTTTCTTTTGGTCACCTCCAGGTCAGCATGCTGCTGAGTGGCTCTCGGAGGAACCCCAACACCATTAGAAGCTTCCTGCCATTCTCTCCACCGCACCCGCCTTCTCCTCGTTCCGACACCCGCGCCACGGGCCCCGGCGCCGTCTCGCACGCGCCTGTGTCTCCAGGTCACATCCAACCGAAGTCTCACCGTGGCTGGTGGACGGGGGCCGCCCCTGCCCCGCCCCAGCCTGACCACCTCTCGGTGTCCCTCGGCCGCAGAGAGCGGCCGGGTCACTGGGCGCAGCTGTCAGGCGGGGTGCCACGTCGTTGGGCGTCCCCCCAGCGAGCCCCTGGAGCCCCCTCCGGGGAACACGGGGGAAGCGAGCGCTGTTTGTCCCTGGAACCCGCCCCTGGGCCGTCCTCACAGAACCCGTCCGTACCTCTGTCGTTACGGCTGCGGGCGCAGAGGGCGCCCCCCCACCCCCGGGGCGAGGTCCCGGGCCCCTGCCCAGCGCTCCCCCTGGGCCCCCACGCCCACCCCTCGCAGCTGGCAGCCCAGGCTCGGGGGCCACCCCAGCGGCCCGACTACAGGGCTCTTCCCGCATCCCTGGCACAAACAGGTGAAAGTCACACACACCTGGGAGGAGCCCACCCTGAAGTAGAACTTTAAAAAGAAACAACCAAGAGGGCCCGGGCTTCAAGTTCCGGATGCATGCTGTGACCTTGTCCCCTGGAGACCCCTGTGGGGCCCTGTCCTGTGGGGCCCCTGCACCAGGGGACCCCGTCCCGGTGGGGATCCTGGCCCCCGTCTCCTGGCAGATGTGACAACCCACACGCCCAAGGCCAGGCCCAGGGGCCGAGAGGTCCCCACCTGGGGAGGGTGGCGGCCAGGACCCACCCTGAGCTGAGGGAGGCCCGGTGGGCTCCAGCCCCACCTGCCGCACCCCCACGCCGGCTGCTGGCCAGGACGGGGCGGCCCCGTCCTTCACGGGCAGAGAGAGCCACAGCGCGGGCAGAGCTCAGCTCAGACTGAGCGGGCAGGAGAGACGGACTCTGGTCCCCCCCCGGGCCCCGGCCCCGGCCCCGGCTCCTCCTGCCCAGCCCGGAGTGGTCACTCCCAGCGCCAGGAGGAACCAAGGGCCTCAGGACCCCAGCCCGGGGGCGCAGGGCACACCGTCCCGGGACCTGTGCTGGACGGGCCTGGACCTGCGGCTGCTCCCGACCCTCGGGCCCGCATGCCCTGCACCCGCGTCCTTCCCTGGGTGGAGAGACCAAGCCTCCCCCCGCTGACCCTGGGGGCGGGGACACAGGCCTGGCCCCACTGCCCCCCTCGCCCCCCGTTATCCTGCCAGGACTGCTGCAGCCTGGGGAGCCCCCACCCCCCCCACCGGGCGGGCGGAAACGGGAACCTGGCTTTGATGTCCGCCTGCACCCACTCAAGAGCCCCTTTGTTCTCCCAGACGCCAGCCCCCCACCCCACCCCCGAGAGCCGAGATCGGGCCTCAGAGAGTAGGGCAGCTGCCGGGGCGGCTGGCCGGCGTCCACCAGCCCCCACGGCCCCCACGGCCCGCGGCCCAGCGGCTTCCTTCTCCTCCATCCTCCACTCCCTTCCGGAGGGAGCTGTTCATTTCCCGTCCTGAGAAAACACCGCCGTGCCCTGTCCTTTCCCCTTCTCCCCTGCAGGTCACATGAGGTCCCCTTCGGCCCCCGACGTCCGTGTCCCATCCCAGTCACAGACGGCCCACCGTGGGTGACCCCCGGGTGTGGGACGCGAGACCCCCGGCCGGCCTCTCAGGGGAGGGGCGCAGACCCCGCAGTCCCCGCCAGCCTCCCCAGTGCTCCACCCCCGGGACCCCCACCCCGGCACGAAGCAGGGGCCTCCCAGCAGCCGGCCAGGACCAGGCACCCGACTCCAGCACAGACACGCCCACCGGGACGCGCTCTCTGGGGGCGGCAGCCCCCCCCCAGCAGAGGGCGGGCGGGCTGAGGCCCAGGGTGCGGCAGGACAAGCGGGCAAGGGGTCACACTCCAGGACCCTGACCCCGAGCCAGGCTCAAAGGCGCCCAAGACCCCTCTGGGTGGCGCCAGGCACCCCGGCCAGCAGATGGCCGCTCTCCCTGCTGGCCCTGCCAGCACCAGCACGGGAGACATCCTGGCTCCTTTCCTCTCGTATGACTTTGTCCTGACAGCCTCGGTGACACGCCAGCAGGATGTGTGGCCCCGGGTGTCACTCCTGCTCCTGTGACAGGTCCCCCCCGCCCGGAGCAGGCTGTGGGGGCGGGGCTGCGTCCCGCAGCAGCTGTGGGGGGTGGGGGGACAGTCCCCGGACACACGGTCTCTTTGAGGGAGGCTCAGCGTCCGCAGGTGGCACGGCGGGCGGGGACACTCACCGGCGAGGCAGCCCTGGGCGCCCGGCTGCTGGCTCCACCCGGGGCAGCACCTGAGCACGGTCCGGGTCTCCGCGGCGTACACCTGCCTGTAGCTGGTGTAGTAGCTGGTTCTGGAAGAGACAGGGGAGGGGAGTGCTGGCAGCACTGCTCCCTCGGCATCGGTGCTCGCAGTCCCCTGCCCTCAGGTGTGTCCCCTGCCCTCAGGTCGGGCCCCTGCTGTCTCTGTCGCAAAGCTGAGTGGGCGGCTCGGAGGAGGTGCCCGGGCCCACAGCGCCCTGGAACCAGCAACAGGCCTTCCGCTGTGCCCGGCCCCGCCACCCTCACCACCATCCCCCCACTGGCTCCCGGGTGGCTGGGGACCGGCGCTGGCCGTCGTCACCCAGACAGTCCTGGAGGGCCGGGGGCCTCAGACCCCAAGTGCCCGCTGAGGAGCAGGACCAGCTCCCAGAGTGGACCCCGTGGGTTCCAGGCGCCCGGGGCGGGGCGGGCCCCAGGCCCCCCGGTGCACCAAGGAGCCGGACACGGGCCTGCCCTGACACGCCCATGAGGAGGGGTCCCTGCCCCCCCCGGGGTGAGTGGTGCTGAGCCGGGGGGCCAGAGGGAGGCAGCCCAAGTGACAGGAGGACCCAAACGCATTCAGTACTTGGCGCTGAGGGCAGAGGGGCGCAGGCCAGGGGGCTCCCCGCAGAGGGCAGCCTGCAGGTCGGGGTGGCTCATGGCTGGTTCCTGCTTAGGTGGATGGTGCAGCCCCCACAAAGGCTGAGAGCAGAGCCCACCCAGCCGCCGGGCCGCTGGAGGTGGGCAGCCCGACCCGAGCAGCCTGGGGCCCAGCATGGGGCGTGGCCGGAGGAAGGCGGGGCCCACGCCCACTCCCTGGCACCCCCGGCAGAACGGACAGAGCTCTTATGTCCCCTCCCCACATCCAGAGACGCCCTGGGCCCGCCCAGTCCCCCTGGCACCCGCAGCCCCGCGGCCGGCAGGGCATGCCCGGTGAAACAGCCAGCGAGGGGCCTCCTCCCGCAGCCCCAGGCTCACCCCGTAGCCACAGACCTGGCGCCAGCGTGGGAGGCAGGGAGTGCCTGGTCAGCACATTCCCCACGGCTCCCCACCCAGCTGTGCCCCGCACCCCGGCCCCCCCACAGCCCAGCTCCTCCTCAGCTGGGCCGCAGGTGTGTGGGGAGCGCCCCTGCCCACCCAGATGGCGGGCGGGTTCCCCGGTCACCCTCCCGGGAGCCGCCTCCTCCGCACCCTCCCCCGCCCAAACACCCAGCACCCTCCCTGGTGACGGCAACTCGGACGTCTGCCTGCCCACACCCCTGCCTCTTCCCGCCTGTGCGGGCTGCACGGCCCCCTGCACCTGGGCTGCCCCCCCCCCCCCCCCGTCCACAGAGAGGATCTTCACAGGCCTCCTCGAGTGTAATGGAGGCGCCCTGCCTCAGGGTGGCCCCGATTTCAACAACTGGGGTCCTTGTGAGAAGAGGGAAGTCTGGGCACGGACCAGGGGCAACGGAGAGACAACAGAGGCTGGTGCGACGCAGCTACCAGCCCAGGACCGCGGCCGACAGGCCCTGTCCCCAGGTGCTCTGCTGGAGCCCCCGGGAGGAACCCCCCCACGCCTGACGTCGGGCTGCCGGCTGCGGGCACGGAGGGTCCCGCCGTCGCTGGAGCCGCCCCGTCCGGAGGAGGGGGCTGGCCAGGCCACCCCGAGGCCTACAGGCACAGTGACCCCCGCCCCAGCCCCCTCCGCCGCCGCTGTAGGAACCGGGCCGGGGCCCAGCCAGCACCACCGGGGCAGGGACCCTGGAGCCACCGCGAGGGGCCGGAGAGCCTGGACCTGCGTCCGTCTCCGGGAACGGAAACGCCCTCCAGGGGTGCAGGGGGCCCGGCACTCGGGGCCGTGGGAGACAGCGGCCGCCTGGGGTCCCGGGCCCCGAGGACCGACCGCCAGGCCGCTTCCGGGAAGTGGGGTGCTGCACGCACTGCGCGCGGCGGCCGGGGGGCTCCGCAAACACCGTCTTGGCAGGACATGAAACCGCCCGCCTGCGGAGCTGCCGCCGCCGCCGCGGGGACAGCGTTTGGCAGCGCGAGTGTTGGGCCGGTCCCTCGCAAATGTTTATCCCTCTCCTCGGCTACGTGCAGCTCCTCGCGGCCCCTGGAAGCCCGGGGGGGGGGGGGGGTTCGGCCCCTCCGCCACCTGCCTGCGCCCCGCAGAGTGGGAGGCCCTCGGAGACAGCCGCAGGCCGGCCTGCAGCCCCCCTGGGCCCCCGACGGCGGACCCTCACTCCCCCGCAGCTCGCAGCTCGCACAGACACTTCAAAGGGGCGGCAGCGCCACCACCGGGAGCTGGCTCACAGCAGGGCCACTGTCACAGGAAGACGCGGCCGCCAGGCCAGTGCCCCGTCCTCCGCCCCTGCAGCCGCCCAGGAACCCGGGCCACAGCCCAGCAGGGCCTCGGGGTGGGGGTGGGGGGTGCCTGCTGGCAGGGCACACCCGTGGGCTCTGAGCTCCAAGCAGCCCCTTCCTTCCTCCCCTCCTCCCTCCCCTCCTCCCCTCCTCCCCTCCTCCCCTCCTTCCTTCCTGCCTGCCTGCCTGCCTTCCTTCGAGTGGAGTCCTCCCCACGGAGGCAGGCAGACCCCAGAACAGCCTGTGTCGGCTGGCTGATGGGTTCGTGGGGAAACACCTACCACGTGCTAGAAGGAGTGACGTGGAGCCCTGGCTGGTGTAGCTCAGTGGATTGAGCGCGGGCTGTGAACCAAAGCATCGCAGGTTCGATTCCCAGTCAGGCCACATACCTGGGTTGCAGGCCACAGCCCCCAGCAACCGCACATTGATGTTTCTCTCTCTCTCTCTCTTTCTCCCTTCCCTCTCTCTTTCACCCTTCCCTCTCTCAAAATAAAAAATAAAAAAATAAAATAAAATAAACCCTCTTTAAAAAAAATTTTTAAAAAAGAAGTGACGTGAAGGAAGAGGACTGGACGCTCTTCTGGGCCCAGGGGGTGACGGGAGGGCAGGGGACTCGTCCCAAGAAGCCGGGGTGTCTTAGCTCAGGAGTCGTGGGAGGGGACGGGACACGTCAACACCCCAGGAGCCCTCTGGAAGGGGGGCGAGGCTGGGCCCCCGAAACACTCAGCGTCGGTTCCAGGGGAGCCCGCAGGACACCAGGGGCGGGGCACAGAGGCAGGAGATGACCCGCTCACCTGCAGTGGGTGCGGCCGCTGCCGCTGGGACGGTCCTGGGGGAGCGGAGGTGGGCCCGGACCCACCCCAGAGCCAGGCCGGCCCAGAGGTGCGCCCGCCACCCCTCCCCGGGCCGGGGACACTGAGGTGGGCCTGCCATGTGGCGGGGGTACGGCCCAGTGTCCTGGAGCTGAGGGGTACAAGCAGAGGAGCCTGCTTCGCCCCCTGAGCCTTCCCAGGAAACCCCAACAAGGAACAAGGACCCCCCCACCGGCCGCCAGCACGCGTGGGGCAGCAGGGCTGCCCAGACAGGGGCCTCTCCGTCGCTGCCCAGACGCCCCACACAGGCCGGGGCTCCGGCCACCTGGGAAACAACCGCTGCTCCCGCCGGCCCAGCGGGAGGCCAGCGAGTGCGGGGAAGGGTGACAGCCGCCCCCGCGGCTCCACAGCAGCCCCTCGGCGCACGGCCGGCCCAGGGCCCAGGGCTCCGGGCGCTCCCAGAGTCACGCCCTCCGCACCCCCAGTTGTGGGGGGCAGCTAATGTGACCTCCTCCCGTGCTTCGAATACACGCACATTTGCCACGCATGCTGGTGCGGCTGGAAGGACACGCTGCGTGCGAAGTGCACGCCTCGGGGGACACAGGGGGGCCCAGGCTCCTGCGGCCCTTCCCTCCTGGGTGGACTCCCCCAAGACCTCACCCAGAGGCCGGGCACCGCACCCACCTTCAGGACCTGGCGCCGCCACCCCCCAACCTGGCCGGGGCCGCCGCCGGCTCCCAGGCTGGGGAGGGCCCCGAGTGGGACCCCCCAGCCCCAGCCCTGCAATCAGGCAGATTCCGGGACAGGAATGCGAGGGGAGGTGTGCAGAGACACTCCCCGTGTTCGGTTTTGAAATAGAATCTTGAGCAATAAAAGGTCTCACACGAGCCTGGGCACGAGGCCCAGGGGTCAGGCGGTAGCCGGCTCCAGCCGGGAGCTCACAGGGTGGGCGCCCTGCTTCTCACCCCCTCCTGTGGCCAGCAAACACCCACCCCCGCAGGGTCCCCGACTCCCCCAAGGGGTCTTCCCGCTCAGAGACCCCACTTCCCCGCACAGGGTGGCCGCCGCCCTGCCAGGTCCCCGCCCCAGCTGCCCACCAAGGCCCCAGGGGCCAGCTGAGCAGGGCAGCCCTGTCCTAGCCTCAGGGGGCCTCTCCCCCAGCGGGTGTGAGAGGCCGGGTCCTCCATCAGATGGGGGGGCTGCAGGTCGGGGGTCCGGGTGGCCCTGACTCGGGGACCGCCCTGACACACAGCCCCTGACCCCGCCGCCCCGCCCCCAGGCCTGAGCACCGCCCCCGCTCCCACACGCGACCACGTACCTCCGCTCCTGGCTGACGCACCACGGCTGCCGTCCGCAGCCCGGCCTCCACACGGGCACCGTCCGGCTGAAGGCCTGCACGCAGGGCTGGCGGCGGCCCACCAGGGTCAGCTCCTGCTCCGCGCACACGTGGGGCCTGGGGCGGAGGACAGCGGTCAGTGCGCTCGCCACCCACAGCCGCCGGCCCCCCACCCCCGGCGTCCACAGCGTCGGCGGGAACAGGGACAGGGGTGGCGGGAGTTCGCCCGACCCAGACCCTAGGTCCCCCCACCCCGGCCGCCCCGGCCTCCGAGACGTCCCCAGAGCTGGTCAGCTGGGGCCTGAGGCTGAGCGGGACCGGACCGGCAGAGCCAGCAAGGCGAGGATGAGGGAGGACACCCAGGGAGTGTGGCTCGGTGGGGGGGGATGGGGGACAGCACGGTGGGCAGGGGCGCTGTCTCTCCCGGCGACCACCGTCCCACGCCGTCCGTGGCTCCAGCACCGGTGAGCATCCCGGCGACGTGCCCACTGAGGAAGGAGGTGGAGGGGACCGGGACAGGAGCGCCCGGAGGCCGGCACAGGCCACCCAGGGCGCTCGGTTCGGGCACAGCCGGGGAGGGACGCCAAGGCCTCACTGCCTCGTGCAGTTTTGGAGCCAGCAGATTCCGCGGGGACTCCGAGGATGACACCTCCTCGGGCGGGCAGCCAGGCTCCGGCCCACCCGGAGGGGCCCGCCGTCCAGGCTGGGGGAGCCGAGGGCCGGCTGGCGGGCCAGGGCCCCTCCCCCACTCCCACCTGAGTCCCCGGAGCTGCCAGATGACGTGGCTCGCCCCCCCCTTTCCTTCACCTACGGCCGTCTGGCCTCATTACCACCCCCCGCCCCACAGCCGGTCTGCCGGCTGCCTGGCGCTCCTGGGACCGGCACTGCAGGCTCCGGCCCGCTCCGGCCAGCCGCCCGGGCTCACGGCCAGCCCCACGTGTGTGCACGCACGCACACACGCGAACGTATGCAAATGCAGATGCTCACACGCATGCACTCACAAGCAAGCACACACATGCACACACAAGAGCACACACATGCACACATGAAAGCACACACACACACACGTGCCCTCTGGCTCCAGGCGGGCTGGGCCAGTGGGAAGACCCGCGGGATACCGGCGGGCCACAGGGGAGCGTGGAGGGAGAAAGGCGCTGGGGCATTTGTCCGTCCCCCACCCCTTCCCGCCGGGCAGCTGGGGGGGGCCGTGACCCTCCCCCGGGCCCCCGTGTGCCCGGGCAGCAGCCTCCAGCGGCAGCTCTCTCTCTGGGTTCCAGGCCAAGGGCCCTCTGGGCCCATCACCCCGGTGGGGGGAGGGGGGGAGGCGCCTTCTCACGGTGGCCCCACCGGCCCTCACTGGCCCCGGCCCACCGGGCGGGAGAGGACCCCGCACGGGCCGCGCAGACAGCAGCGGAGGGGAAGTGAGCCAGCGAGCAGAGGGGCCGGGCGGCGCTGTCGGTGGCAGCTGGTGTCACCTTCAGTGCCGGGGGGGCGCCATGGCAGGGGGCGGGCCCTGAGGTCAGCCCAAACGAGCCCTACAGGTGCTCCGGCCCACGCCAGTGCCGGCAACGGGCGCCTTGGGAAACAGTGGGGGGTGGGGGCGGGGGCGGGGACGACCCCAGGGGGCTCACACCAATGACCTCTGAGCCTCCCGGCTGCAGGCCCAGCCCCGGCCCTGAAACGGCCCCGGGCTGTGGGCGGTCGTCATCCGAGGACGGAGGCCACACCGAGGAGGGCAGTTACCAGCACAGGCTTTGGCACCGACACGCCGGGCCGGGGGCCGCTCGCAGCCGGAGCGCCACAGACCCTCGGGGGGCAGCTGCAGGGGGCGCAGGGGAGGCTGAGGGCCTCCAGCGGGGCCACTGCGTCTGGAGCTCCACCGGGGCCCGGCTCGGGACAACCCCTGCGTGTCAGGGTCCCAGGGTCCCGCCGCCCCTGGGTTGTCACCACCGCGCCCTCACGCTGACTGCAGCTCGGCACGCAGGACGCCGACGTCGGGGGCTCAGGGAGGCGACACCGCCGGGCACGGGGTCTGGGGTGCAGGGGCTGGCCCTGCCACCAGGCAGCAGGAGGGAAAGTGCCCCTCGGGGCGAGGCAGGCGTGGGGGGGGGGCTGGGTGCTGTCATCTGAAAGCCCCCCTCCTTCCAGCCCTCCACAAACCTCAGCCACATGGGCAGCTGCTCATCTCGAGATGGCCATGTCGAGGGTCCCAGCAGCCCCCTTCAGGCACCCCCACTCTGGCCACTCTCCCCCCGACCACGTGTCCCTACCTACCCCCTGCAGGCACCTGCCTGACTCTGGCCCCCAGAACGCCTCTCCAGCCTGCGGGCCCCCAGCTCCCCCCACGTGCAGGGCCACCCCTCTGCATGTCCCTGAAAATGGGGAGCCTCAGAGCTGTGTGGCTCCTGACCCCACTGCAGGGGAGGAGAGGGGAGCTCTAGGTGGCTTTTCCCTCCGGGAAGCTCCTGGCTCCTCAGGAGCACCAGTCAGCGGCCTCCCCACGTGGGCAGAGGGAGGGAGGGGGTGGGGAGGGAACGGAGACTGGGCCCCCACCCCAAGCACATGGCAGGTCCAAGGGGCGCCTGCCGGACCCCCGGGGTCGGGCAGGAGGGAAGCGCAGGGAAGGCGGTCTCCAGCCACAAAGGGGACTGAGCTCCAGAGGGGGGGGACCCTCCATGCAGAATGGGGCTCCTGGAGGCTGGCGACCTCTGCCCAGAGCCGGAGGGCACGGGATCTGTCCCTCTGGGGTGTGTGGTTCCAGGCCCCCAGACCCTGGGGTGTCCCGCAGGCAGGTCCCCCGGCTGCACACCCCTCACCAGGAGGACAGCTGGGTGGCCGCGAAGGGTCTCCAGAAGGTCTGTACTCACAGGCCCCGTTTTGACCCTCGCGGCTGGCCTCTGAGCCTGCCCCGCCCCCCGGCCTGGGCGCAGCCGGTGCGGGGAAGCCCAGTTCCGGCCCCGGGGCCACAGCAAGAGCTCCTCGTGAGACCGGACTTGAGCTGGGAGGGCCTGTCCCTCCCCGGACAGGCAGGGTCAATGTCGCCAGCTGACTGGCCGTCTTCCCAGCACGGCTGCCGGAGGGAACGCAGCCCCTGGGGAGCGGATGCCTGGACCCTGCAGCCTCAGAGCACGGCCGGTCAGAGCTCCAGCGCGTGGGGACATCGTCTCCTGTGCCCAGACCCTGCTCCCACCGCCTGGCCAGCAGGAGCCAAAGTGCCAGCCCCGGGGCACCTGGCGCTTGAAGACAGCGGGACCCCCCACAGCACCCTCCTCACTTTGCCCCCCCCAGAAAGGAAGGCCACCACAGAGGGCCAGGAAAGTGGCCAGACGGGGTGGGGCTGCCCGCACAGGGCAGGCTGGCAGGGAGGCGAGACCTCCGGGGTCAAAGCACTTCCTGGGACCCTCGCAGCCCGCCCCCTGCCCCTCTGCCCCCACCACGCTCCTGCTCAGCAGGACAAGCTATGGGCACGGAAGCCTCTCCGGGGCGGAGCAGGCAGGACACTGTCCGAGTTCAGCTGCCAGCCCTGCCCACCGCGACCCACGGCGGGTCGGACAGGCCGGGCGCTCAGGGGGCAGGAGGGCCGCGGAAGGCGTGCTCGTGGGCACCCCCGAACACCTCACCCCCGGCGCGGGGCGGTCTGAGAGGGGAGCCTGGGGTGGCTGTGCCCAGAGCGAGGTGCAGGGGGGCCCAGCCTGCCTGGGGGGAGGCTCCCGAGGAGGAGCCCAGGGTCTGCAGCCCAGAAGGAGAGAGGGAGGAGGACTTGGGAAAAGCGTGAAGCAGGAGGGGCCTGAGGTCCCCTGCAGCCCCCCAGCCCCTGGCTGGACAGGCTTGCTGGGGGCAGCTGCTGGGGGCTTCCCGGGGCCCGAGGTGGGCAGGTGACCTCTCCTCAGGGAAGGAGGCCCAGGGAGGGAGACTCGAGGTGTCCACCGAGAGGGCAGAGCCCGCGGGGCCTGCCCACCCTGACCGGCACCCTGGAACCCCCAGGAGCAGGCAGGCAGGCAAGCGGCGCCGGCCGCCGTGGTAATCCCGGCCGAGGCCACGGCATCCCTGGGACACTCATCGCTGGGGTGGCGGGAAAGGGGCCGGCCGGCAGAGGTCCCGTGCGGCGTGGGCACTCGGGCCGCTCACACTCGCAGACCCAGAGGCTGTGCTCCTCTGGAAAGGCCACAAGGCTTCTTCCCTCCTGGAGCAAAGCAGGACCCGGGGAGGAGTCCGGGGGTGCGGATGTGCCCTGCCCCCGCTCCACCTCGAAGGCCGTGCTGCCCGGGGAGGCGCGGGGCAGGAGGGCCTCACCCGGGCCGGGCCGGGCCGCTGGCCCACCCCTCCGCAGCCCCTCGGCAGCCTTCCCGGGCTTGGCGGGCCCAGCACCCCGCCGCGAGCGCAGGAGTGGGGGCGGGGCAGGCTCCCCTCCCCCCCGCCCTCCGGGTCGGCTCTCCCCGGCACCGGCTTCCCCCTGAGGCCAGCAGGAGGATCGATTCGCCGTTTCAGAGAGACCGCTAAGCGGACGGCGGGGAGTCATCTTTCAGAATTAAGTCCGTCGCAGCGGGCTCCGTGACCCCGTCTTCCTGCCCACTCTGGTGCCGAACTCCTCCTCCCGTCTCTCAGCCCCGGAGCGCACGTGTTTAACACATAAACCAACTCCGCGCGGCCCCCTGTCTGGGCACGGCCCGCCCCTGCACAGGCCCCCGGCCCCGGGAGACAGGCTTTGGAAGGAAGTGGAAACCGGCCGCTTCCTTTCTGCCTTCTCCAAGCCGGGCTCCCTGGGCGGACCCCGCCTGGCGAGGACCCAATTCCCTCACCTCGGGTCCAGAGCGCAACATCCGCCTGCGCCTGCAGCCCCCATTACAGAGGGAAGGGAGGCGGGGAAGGGGAAGGGGAGAGGCCGAGGAAGGGCCCCCGCCCCAGCCCTGGAACCGTGTCTCAGCCCCCCCTCACCCCCCACCGCAGTGACGGCAAAGAGCCCACTGTTCTCAGGCCCCGGGGACAAAGCCTCCCGGGGAACCCGGGGTCCGGACGTCCGGCCGAGCCCTCCCGCTCCCGCTACTCACATGCTGGGCTGCAGGCGGAGCAGGGCGCCGGCGCCCGCGGGCACGGCGGGGAGCAGCAGCACCAGGGCCAGGGCCACCGCGCGCCCGGCCGCCGTCGCCTCCACAAGGACAGGCATCGCGCCCGCGGCCCCGCGCCGGGTCCCTCCTCCGGCGCCCAGCTCACACGCAGCCCGGGGGAGCCCTCGGAGCCGCCGCCTCCACGTGCGCCATGGACCGGCGCGGGCGAACAGGGAGCGCAGCCGCAGGTGACCGCACCGGAGCCCGCGAGTACGAGGTCGCTGCAGGTGCGGGAGGTCCTGCTTCCCGCCCGCTGCCAAGAGGCAGCAGAGACCTGCGCACCGGGGTCCACCCAGGCACCGAGAGCCCTGCGCGCGCCCAGCCCCGCGCGCCACCGGCCCGCCCGCCTCCGCCCCGCCCCTCGGCTGGACCCCAGACCCGGTCACGCCCACGGCCACGCCCCCGGCCTGCCCTGTTCCCGCCCCTCCCCGGCTCCCAGCCCCGCCCACAGCGCAGCTCGGGTCCTCACCCCAGCCCCCGTCCTGGCGGGGCCAGCGCAGCCCCTTCAGGCTCCCGGCTCTTCCCCTCCTGAAATTCCGGGGTCCCTTGAGATCGAGGGACCAACCCCGACGGGGCGCACCGCCAGGGGGCACGCCCCTCACCATGGGCAACGGCTGCTCTCTGCGGACCCCGGACCCCGTCCTCGGGGCAGCCCTCAGCCCTCCGTCCCTCTTGAGTCCCAGGAGGCACCGGCCCGGGCTCTCCTCCCCGCGGGTGCTCCGTGCGCCGTCACGCCTGGCTCCCACCCCCTCCGTCGCCTGCGGCCTGGGTCGGGGCTCCCCGCTCTTCCGCTGCTCCCCCGCGCGGCCTAGGGCAGGACCCTCTTTCGAACCCGGCTTTGGTGTGGAGTTCACTTCCCGCAGGGTGAGCACCAGGCGCTCCAGGGTCCCTGGGGTGGGACGGTCCCCTCGGAAGGTTTTTGAAGAGCACAGGGAGATGCAGTCCGGGTGGGGCCAGGTGGGAGACCGGAAGTCACAGGCAGGCGCGTGGAGCCTGAGCCCCCCGCGAAGCCCAGCCGCAGGTCCCTGGGCCGGGCATCCTCCCCCAACACCGCGGGTGCTCCCAGTGACCGGAGAGGCTCCCGGACCCCCACCCCACACAGAGCCCTGGTGCCCTGGCTGGGCAGCATGTAGGAGGCAGCGGGGCCCCCCAGCTGTGCAGGTGCAGTGGAAACACAACCGTGCCCCCCACTGTCTGAGCCCCCCGCCCAGCCGGAAGGTGACAGTCATCTTAATAGGGGCAGAGTCCTGTCAGGGGGCTGCTGTCACCCTGCTCACAGACAGGAACCTGAGGTCAGGAGGAGGCGACAGCCCCCAGTGGCCCAGCCTGTAAACTGCAGACCTGGGAACCGGGCACAGGGGCCGGCTCTGGGGCCCTTGGCTGCGCGCCCTGCTCTGCTGCTGCCTGGGAGTCTCACGCGTGTGGAGTGGATGGGGGTCCAGCACGTCTGACCCCCCTCCGGGGCGGCGGTGGGTCACAGTCAGCTCAGGCGGCCGAGAAAACGCCACAGCGGATAGCCGTCCCCACCGTCCTGGAGTCCCAGGTCAAGTGCAGGCTCCTGCTGAGGGCCCGCTCCCTGGCTCTCAGGTGCCGCCTTCTCGCTGAGTGTTGGCGTGGTGGGCGGCTAGACACAGAGAGACAGAGAGAGCCGGTGTCCCTTCCCCCCCACAGGTGCCACCCACCTGAAGGATCAGGGCCCCACCCCATGACATACTCATTCGACCTCAATCACCGTTTGGGGGTATGGGCTTCAACACATGGATTTCAGGGAACACAATTCAGCCCACAGGAGGGCGGCGTCACTGTCTCCTGAAACCCCAGACACAGGTCCGTGTCCCTGCCGGCTGGTGGCCGGAGCCCGGCCTTGTGCACCCGCCCGCTCTGTCCCACCCTGCCACCCGGGCTGGGACAGAAGCCACAGGGCTGGCCCACACCGGGCTCCAGACCTGGGCTCCCCTGGGCTCCCTGCCACCTCATCCGCTTGGACCCCGCCCTGGGAGAGCCCCTGAGGGTGCCCCGTAAGAGCCAGCCGGACCGGCGCCAGCAGGCGAGCGCGCAGCCCCCACCAGAGAGCTCAGCCCCCTCTGCCAGCGCCGCGCCAGCGCCCACGGAGCGTGTGTTGGGTGGATGAGCGAACACCAGCTTCCCGCCCCCACTGCCCTGTGCTGCCCCCACTGCCCACGGGCTGAGGGTAACCGATCGGTACAGTAAATTCTCCAGCTTCTCAGAAGAAAAATTTGAGTGGATCCAAATTTGGGGGGGTTAAAATGGAGGCCACTGGGCAGGGGATCCAGGTTTGGCGGGGAAGGAAACGTATAAAATTGGGAGGCCCTCTTCAAGGAAAGCAGTGTAAACATCACTGACTTTGCTGACTTACAAAAACACACGAGTGTGCACGTCCCCTCCCCCAAGCTTGGACGCACCGGGAAAGCACCAGCTGTATCAGCATCACCCCGCTGTCCGGACGCCACGTTCAGCCGCCAGGCGAACAGCCCTGAGCCAGGTGCCAGGTGAGCAGGCGGGCAGGGGGGGGGGGGGGGAGAGGACGCACTTCCTGCTGGAAGTCCCTGTGGCCAGGACATCCGCCCACCCCCCACTCGCTCACTCGGGAAGTCCGTGGCCTCCCCGCCGCCCCAGACCGAGCCTCCGTCTCAGGCACAGGTCTGAGGAATGACCCTCCTGAAGCAAAGCCCCCTCGCAAAGACTGCCCGGATCCCCGGTGCTCGCCGGGCACCCCCAGGTCTCCTGGGCGCGGCCTGACACCGTGGAAACGCGGGGCGTCTTCCAGCACAGACCAGATGGCCTGCGGGCCACCAGGGGGCGCCCGGAGCATGTGTTTGAAACGGGCGCTCCGACCGCGCGCGCGGGTTTGCAGCACCTTTACCGACAGGTTTAAGTGGAACGCGCGTTCATGGGCAGTAACCCCACCCCCCACCCCCGAAACAGAACACACGCCTATTCCCCGAGAGCGACCCGTCGGTGCCCACTTCCTTCACGAAGAGAGAGCGTGCGGGCCGCCGCCGACGTTTTCCCGGGGGGCGGTTTCCCAGGTGAGACGCCGGCCGTGCTTCCGTGGGCGGTGGGCTTCTCCTGCCGTTTACCCAGACGGGCAGCTTTCCCCCGGGCAGCGGCCGGCGTCGCTCGGAAAGCAGCACGTGGTTTGGGACGATGACGGCTGTGTTTGTCTTTCTTGCCTTTGGTGCCTGCGTCCGTTTCGCACGGGTTCGCCCCGCCGTGTGCGGGCTCGGGGGACCGGCGCAGGGTGCGGTGGTCCGTGCCGTCAGCGGTGGCTTCGCGCCCCAACCCAACCTGGGCGGACCGCGCAGACTCCGCCCCTCCGCCCGGGGGCGTTTCCTCGGAGTCTCCACCCCCCCGACCCGGCAGGACTCGCTCCCTGCCGTGCGCCGCCGGAACGAGTCCTCGGTGCGCCACGCCGCTCCGCTCCGGCGGCGGCTCGCTGGTGACCAACGGGGAGCACCTCCCCCGGTGTATTTTCCCTCCAGACCACACGGGTCTTCCCCGCCCGTCATCCTCCCCCATGGACTTGGGGGTCCCTCTATCCAGCTCCTTCGCGGTCGCACTGGACGTTTCGTCGGATCGTATTCATTAATCCCGGGAGTCCTGCCGCCTTCACAATCCTCCGGCTTGGAGAAGGTCCAGGACTGTGGCGGGAAGCGCCGCCCCGCGTGCATCCGCGCTGCGGGGCAGCGTCTCCTGGTGTAGGGTGGCGGAATGGGAGACTTGGGGCCCCCACGCCGCTCCCGCGGGGCTCCCATAGACCCAAGACACACATGGGGTCAAAGCTGGAGCTGGGGAGGGGGTGCAGGCCCACCTGAGGTCTCACTCAGGTCCCAGCCCAGACTCCCACCCCAGACGCCTCTGGCCAAACTGCAGCAAGATGTCCCCCTTCTACCCTGGGGTTCGCTCACTCGACCTCCGAGGCACAGACGCGGACGGGCCCTCACAGTCCCGCGGGCTTGTGGAGGGCGGGGCACCAGGCAGAAGCCAGCACCTGAATAACGCATTGCTCACTTAAAGGCCGGGGGCCAGAGGGGCGTTCTCGCCCACCACCGCCTGCCCGGCCAATCACACTCCACTGCAGGAAGGGAGACAGGACTTGCTTTCCCAACAGGAAGTGTCTCCAGGACCTCAGCAGGAGGAAGATTTTCTCCCGGCCCAGCAACAAGCCCAGCCAATGGGAAACATCAGCTGCCCGACCTCTCCCCTTTGTCTTCCAGCCAGAGCACCCCTCCCGCCAGCTTCCGTTCTCGACACAAAGTAGCGCTCCTCCCCTTGGTCTGTTGCCCGTGCCTGCAGCGGGTGCTCCGGCTGCTTGTCCCCAGTTGCAGTTCCTTGCTGTTCCGAGTGGGACCCCCGTGCGCTGATAAGAGTAACTGGCTGTTTCACTTTTACGATCAACATTACGCGCCTCACTCGGGCCTGGAAGAGAGCCCCGAGCGGCAGGCGCACACGTGGAAGCCAGGGGTGGACAGTGGCCTGGCCTGCTGCCACCACACGGCTCGCTCCCCCCCCCCCCCCCGCCCTTTACCCCATCCTGTCACACGCCTGCCCGGGCCTGGAGGGACGCTCCGGAGCCCGCGGGCGACGCCAGGCGGCCACTGGGATCTCACGTGGAGTCCGGCTGGGTTCGGAGCCTCACGCGGGCGGGGACGCGGCCGGAATACGTGCCCTTCCACATCTGGCAGCCCGCCGCCCCAGCTCGCGCGGAGAGCATGTTTGGGAGACACTGCTTTTCCCTGTTTTTGTCTGATTCGCTGCTGGAAGTCATAAATAGCCTTGGCGCAGGGACAGCGTCCGTGGGGAGGAGGGAACACCTCCGCCAGTTCGGCCGGCCGTTGCCCAAGCCTCCCAGCTCCCCCCAGAGCCCCCCCAAGAGCCCGCCGCCGCCGCCGCTAGGTCCTGCTGGCACCCCAGAGCGCGGGAGGGAGGGCCCGCAGACAGGTCGGCCCAGCCTCCCGGAGCTCCCCGACCCGACACGGGGCCGCCCGACCCAGGGCTAGTCTGGTTTGCAGACACTCCCCGGGCCCGAGCAGGAGGGCTGATTGACAAGGTGTGTTCAGGGCCCCCCGACGGGAGGGCCTCTCGCAAGCAGAGCAGAGCATCCCCAGGGCTCTGCTCTGTCCAGACAGGGAGGGATCCCCGCCAGCTTCCCTGGACGGGCCCCGCCGGCCTCCTTCTGGCTGAGCCACAGCCCGGGGACGTCTCTGGATCCGCAAGCACCGTCCGGCCTGGGACGCGGGCCTGGGGCCTGCCCAGCCGGCAGCCTGCTCCTTCGAGGGGGGGGTCGTGGCCGGGGCTGCAGCTTCTCCGGACGGGAGCTCTGCCCGCGGGCCCTGCAGAGGGGAAGGAGCTGCAGGCTGCCCGTTAATCTGCAACCGGCGCCCGAGCGTCCGAGCACCCCAGCCCCCAGCAGCTCTGGGTCCCACCCTGGGGATCCTGCTGGCATGCGCTGGGCTCCTCCGGCCACCTCTCCCTCTTCCATGGGAGACAGATGTCCGCGGTGGGACCCACTGGTTTCGTGAGCCGCTAGCACCTGGGAGGGGGAGGAGGCACGCCTCCCTCTGAGGCTTCCCCTTGCGCTTCTGCGGTGCCGCGGCTCCGCGCGGGGACCCTGCCCCCTGCCGACGGGAGTGGGAACAGCCTTTCCAAAGCCCCAGGAAAGAAACGTCCAAAGGGCAGGGGCCCAGCGCCAGGGGACGCCACGAGTGACCACCACAGCCATCGGCCGTCCTGCAGGCCCAGCGCGCACATGTGCAGAGCGACCGCTCCATCTGCACCGCCTCACGGTTTGCACGGCGGTGCCGTCTGTTGCAGGAGAAGGGTGTCCCCCAGGGGCACGCCCAAGCCCTGGCGCCGGGCCGTGAGCGCGGCCCTATGTGGAGACAGGGTGTTGGCAGGTGCGATGGGCCGAGACGCAGGCGTCTGGGTGGGTCTCACCCAGCGCGACCAGCGTCCTCATAGCAGGAGACCGAGACCCAGGGAGGAGGAGGCAGCCGTGGGGCCACGGAGGTGGAGACCACGGGGGGGACACGGCCACAGGCCCATGGACGCCAGGTGTGCTGGTGTCACCTGCGGCCGGAAGAGGCGAGAACAGCGTTCCCCGACACGTTCCGGAGGGAGCGCGGCCCTGGGGGCGCCAGGGTCTTGGACTCCCGGCCCCTGACTGAGGCAGTGAGTCCCCATTGTTGACTGAGGCCCCCAGTGGGTGGCGCTTTGGGGTGGCAGCCCTGGGAACCCGGTGTGCCGGCCGGCACTGCCGGTCAGCCGGCAGCGGTGCGGTCACCTCCCTCGTCCTTCCCCGCCATGCCCTCCCCTGTCAGCCTCCCGGGGGCTGCGGGACCGTCCACCTGCCTGCTCTGGGCCCCGCCGGCCCGGAGGGTTCACTGGGCCGCCAGGAATGCCTGTCTCCCTCCCCGTCTCTCTCTCCCCCACCAGCCCCGACACCCCCAGCAGCCCACTCCCAATCCAAAGCCCCCGGGCACTCAGGTCCCCGCCTCCGCCCGTTCCGTCCACTCTGTCCAGGCCTGTGCCCCCCTCCCTCCACCCTCTCCTGGTCCCAGTCCCTGTCGGATACGCTGCCGTCTCAGCGAGACTGGGAACCTGGACTCAAGGTCCCCAACGGTGACGCGCTGGGGGACACTCCCACTCGTCCTGCTGGATGGGACAGGAGCACCAGCGCCGACCGCTGCTCCGGGGCCGTCACGCAGGTTTGTGTTTGCAGAGAGCAGCCTGCAGGGTGAAGGGGCCTCCCCCCCATCCTGGGCCCGGACAGAGCATGCCCACGGGCCGGCCCCTCTGCTGAAAGGCACCCACTGGCCGCAGCACGGGGACCGGCGCTGTGCTGACACTCGGGCCACCGCCGTTCCTGTGAATGACAGTCTGTCCTCCCTGACCGGGGGCTCGTCCCCGCCGCCAGCACCCCCGGAACCTCGGCAGGCTGGCTGGCTGGTCCTCAGGTGCGGGAAATCTCCGACCCCTGCAGCTCTTGGCAAGTACTCCCTCACAGGGTCGGGCCCCCTTTCTCCTTGTCTCCATCCACAGACGCCCAGCCAACCCCCCCCACCAAATTCACACCAGTCCACTCCCACTAGCTCCCGGGGGGAAGGCTCCACCACAAGCCTCCCGGGCCAGTGACCCACCTGAGGTCACGTAGGCCAGCCCTCAGGGGCTGGCTGCACCTTGAAAACCCCCCACACCACTGCCGCCTCCCAGCACCCCCTCCGGCTGCCCCCTCCCGGCGCCCCCTCCGGCTGCCTTCCCTAAGACCCCGAAGCTGCTCCCTCTCCAGCCTCCCGGCCTCAGCCTGCCCCCCGAACCTCATCTCCCCTCCTCGCCGCCCCCAGCCCTCGCCGAGAAGACCCAGACCGAGGCCCCCGGGGACGGCGGCTGTCGAGGACCTGGTCTTCTTGCCGACACGAGTAAAGAATCACAGATCAGCACAGCCGTTACGAGTAGTCAGTGTATTAGGGACCCGTGTCCATGGGACAGAACGGGACTGGCTGGGGTCAGGGGCGTGACGGGCAGAGGTTCAGGGCAAAGCGGGGCAGCCAAAGTAAGCGTGGCGGAAGGCCAGGGTGGCAAGCCCCCGGGGGGCCAGGGGCTGGTGGCCCGAGAGCCTGGAGCCCCCGGAGCCCCCGAGAGAGAGAGCGCGAGTCCTTTGTCCTGAGGACTTACATGGTTGGTGGGATGGGAGAGAAAAGTTACATATTGATTATCGGGTAAATACGGTGCCAGCTTTCCTGGGGGGACATGACCACCCAAACTCAGGCATGTGGGGGGCCTGTTAGCCCGAGTCTGTATCTTGCTCCAGACCCCATCTGTTTCTCTTGTTGGGAAACAGATACATGACAGGAGGCAGTTGATTAAAGTTGGGGCACTTTCCAAAGTTGTGTATGGGCTCTTTCTGAAGCATCCGGGACTCCCTGGTAAAACACATGGTGACCAGAGGCGGGCAGTTCACCAAAGTAGTTTTACGGGCTCCTTCTGTGGGCACCGGGACCCTCTCCCAGGCAGCGGAAGCGCCACACGGGGTTTCGAGGACTCCCCTCCCTTCTTGCTGACACGGTGTTTCCTGGGGCGCGGGAACACCTGGCGTTGCGATCAGACGAGGCTGGGGACCGCAGAGTCAGCGCGTGAGACCCGCCCCTTCCTCCTCCCTGCCGCGGTTCGCCGCTCGCTCTACCTCAGGGCCAAAGGCTGGGCCGAGGGCTCCGTCTGCCCCGCCGTCCCCTCCTCTGGAGACCTCTCCCGGCCACCGGGGCGCTGGACGCTGGCCAGTGACAGCAGCGCAGCCTCGGAGTTCTTCCTGCGCGGCGGTCTCCTGCCTCGAAAGGACACACCCGTCGCTCCCTCGCGGCCGTGTCTCAGCGTGTGTGAGCGTGCTGCGTGCCGGTGAGTGTGCACGCAAGTGGCGAGAGTGTCAGCGAGGGCGGGGCTCTCCTCTGTCCGACCCCCCCACACCCCAGGAGCCACGGGCACGGGAAGTGGGGGTGGGGGGCTGAAGCACGGGTGCCGGACGT